TTGTTGGTTTGAGATCTTTTGAATTATTAAAATGATTGGATTTTTTGATAAAGTAAAAAGAAGGCAACAAATTGAACTTGTAGAAAACTTTAAGACTTTTTTATAACTTTATTGATGTCTTTGGAAAAAATAATTGAAATTGCTTTTAATAGATGAACTTTGATTAATGAAAAAATATTTCAGAATGTTAAAAAGATTAAAAAGATTTTTTTGAATATGTTTTTATATTTTATTATAGTTGATTTTTTTAAGTATTGAATTTAAAAAAAATTGAATTTATATTTTAACAATTAAATAATTTTAATAGAGACAAATTGATGAATTTTGATATAGGTGATAAAAAGAATCTTATTAATAATTAATTTAATTTTTTTTGGTAGTCTTGATAATATAGTTAAGATTATTTGTTTTAAGATAATTGTTTAGAATTTATTCTTAATTTTTTTTATATTTTTATTAGTATTATTTTTTAATTAATTATTTTTTTACAAAAGTTTTAAAGAAATCACCATCTTTATACTTGATTTTGAGAGTATTTATTTAAGATATTTTCTTGAAAGGCTTGTATACTTATTTTTAATTTTTTTAAAAAATTTAACTTCTAATTTAGCAAATCTTTTGTACTGATTAAGTTTGTTACAAAGTTCTAGAATTTTTTTCTGTTTAGTTGAAAGCTTAATATTTCTTATATTTGAGAAAAGATAAGGAGGGTATTGATATTTGATTTAAGATATTGATTGGTTATATCAGTTCAAAAGAATGAAAAGGATTCTAATATTTTAATTGATTGACTTGAAAAAAAATATTTATCAATTTATATTTTTGTATTAGAATTATAAATTGTATATAGATTGCTTATAAACTGAATTAATTGATTTTATATTTTATTGCTCTGTTAAATAAATTAATTTAATTTGTATTTTGTTTAGAATAGTTGTATAATATATTGTATTTGAACAATTATTTTATATTTTATTGTTATTTTTTATTATTTTATTTGAAGACTGAAATGATTATTGTTATATATAAAAAAAAGTATATGAGATACATTATTTTACAATTAAGTTACATATTATTGTTATCAATTATTTTTATATTTAAAATTGAAATGTTTGAAGTGATTTGGATATTTTGATATTTTAAGTTAAGAAGAAGATATTTTGTTAACATTGATTTGAATATTCAATTTGTTCTATAGAATATAAAGATTATAATTTAATTTTTGTTTTATTATTTTTTTTATAATACTGATTCTGTTATTGTTAATAATTTTAAAGATATTTGGAAGTCTAAAAATAAGTTAAGAAATTCTATTAACATTAATTTAATAAAAATAATATTAATTGCAATAGCTAGAGAAGAAAATTTATTAGTTTTATAAAATTTAAAAGTAATGATAATATTTTTTAAAGTTTTTGAATTGTTTATAGTAAAATAAACTGATATAAGTTATACTTGAAGATAATTTCCTAACCAAAAAAGTTTAATTGTTATAATGGAGTTGGAGGTAAATACTTTATTAATTTTGATATGATTATAACAGCTTCAAATTAGATATATCAATAATAAGTATATTTAGAAGAATAAACTTATTATTGAAAGTATAATTCTTGAAAGAGAAGTTTTTTTCAAGGTCTTTGAATATTTTTTTTGAAATTCAAATTTTTATTATTTTTTTTGATAGTTTTTATCAGATATACAGTATGTATATTTGAAAAAGAATTTTTTAATTGTTTTTTTTTCAATTATTTTGTTTTATATTATATATATACTGTATATATACTATATATATAATATATGTTTTTATAATTTTTTATATAATAAATTTTAAAAATTCCAATTGTCAATATATTTTTATTGTTAATATAATATAATATTAAATTTTTAACTAGTTATATTATTGTTTGAAAAAGAAAAAAAATTTTTTTTTTTTTTATCAAATGTTATTTTTATATTAAAAAAAAATTAAATATAAATATATAATTTAATAATAATATATGTTAATAAAATAAAAAATATGTCTTAACGATTTAATAATAAATACAATTAAAAATTAAAAATTCAAGTAACAGATCAATATTAAAATCATTTGAAAATTAATTTAATTGGTTAATTGATTTTGAATTTAAAAATTTATTTTTTTTTAATAATAATTAATATACAGTATATCGTAATAATCGTGGTAATTACCGTAAATGTACAATTTATCAAAAAACAAAAGACATATAACAAGGTTTATCGTTATTTATTAAAAATATTTTATTGAAAATTAAAATATTAATAAATTTCTAGTCAATTAAAAAACATTTAATTATAGATGATAAAGTAATCTCTTGCTTTTATATTCTAATATAGGAAGCATATTTGTTATAACGATTAGTAATTATGTAATTGTGACTCGCGTTTTGGATAAGGAAACAACAAAGTGAAAATCCAAGCATTAGGAAATAACCATAACAAGGTATCAATGCCGTAGCAGGAATGGATTAGCCATATATGGGCCACTTTCATTATATTACGTCTACTATTGCGTGACGCGTGATAAGAGTAGACACGAACATGTGATGTTTTATCGTCAGATACTGACGATATGACACCAAGAAATTTCGTGATGTTTCCTCCTTCTTTAACACAATTGTCTTAATTTGTGAAAATGATGAATTTTCTTTCTTCCTACTTTCCTATTGTCAACAAGAAGCGGAATGCACGCCAGTTTGATGATTTAAACATGACTTCATATAAGGTACACTATTTACGGTATGAACGTATATATAAGTAATTTTATTTTACACGATGCACTGTGGAACAACGATTCTACGCAGTGTATGGTTTGTATGGTAGCACAGAAAATCTGCACCATGAAGTTTATTTAGTTGCACAGTTTTCCGGTTGATAAGCAGATAACGTGGCGTTGCTCGCAGTACGGTATTATGATAATCCAGAATCGGAAAATCTATGATAATTTGTTAACGAAAAATTCCGATTAGTTTAAGTGCGTAAATAATTATCCATAATAATCAGTTAGCTTGCTTTTACCGCTCATATATAAATATCTCTGTCTCTACGATTATCCAAACCAAACATTCGATATTGAAAAATTTGCAATTTTTTACATCACTTCTCAAATAAAAAACTCGAAGCATAATATCATTACCATCGAGATAATAAATTGTGTATTCCAAAATTTTACGCATGAAAATGGAAATCAAACCATCATATAAAGAACTTATCCACACTATGGAGTTCGAACCCTACAAGCCTAAATACATTGATTGGAGTGACGACGAGGAAACGGATGAAGATGAGGAATTTAAATATGAGATTGATTCAGATGCATTTAGATGTTCGAGTGGAATTGTGGTTAGCGAAAACGACCTTGATGTAGTCATTAAAATCGATTTAGAGGTAAAAATTTTCAGTAGTAAATCATTGATGAAATTTGTCTCGTCAAAACAGAATGAGTTTAAGTTCCTCTTAACTAACGTTATCTTTTGATAGGACTTTAATATCGATTATCAAGTGTGTAACAATCTATTGGCAATATTTGGTACCAAAAAACCATCAACAAAGAACAATTTACTTCAAAACTTTGAAGACGTTATTGACCCGTCAGTAACGACTAATTCATTAATTGTACCGGAGACACCAGGTGGAATGCGCGAGTACAAATCCTTTTGTCATCCAGTTTTGTTACCGGAAAATGTTGACACTGAAAAAATCTATACCGAAATAATTGACGGAATTCTATACATTAAAATACCAAAAGTTTTTGACGATCTAAATTTAAAAGATAATTTATTGGTACGTTTCATTTGTTTCTTTTCGGATATGTCGCGTTTATTTGTTTTTATCGTTTTTTGTTTTTTCAAAATTGACATTTTATTTAACTTGATTCTTACAGGAGGCTGGAAAATGTGCACTGTGTCAGTGGCGAAATTGTTTTAACAAGTATTTTCCCGGTATCTCAGAATTATAAGAATCAAAAGTTGTCGAATTTATCGAAAAGTATTGTTATATTTTAGATAAGACCTAATTTATTGAAAACACCGTCATCAAGGATAAACCTTGATAGTTTTCCCACCATAGACGCCTGTTTTTTTCTTTATCGAAAATCGGGCTATTGTACATATCGGGTTTCTATAAGGATCCTTATAAAATTGATCTCAAAAAATCATATGATTGGAACAAATGACACTCAAAACGAATCTTAAAAAAATTTGACCGAATGTCAAAGAGGGTGTTGGTAGCAAGCAAAACTAACGAAAGAAGGAAAGATGCTGCAATAAATATATGCATCTCATGTTATGGAGAATAACTTGTTCTTATCAAGTATTGATAGGAATTTTACGAAGATGGCATTTTTAGATAATGCTGTGTAATCCTTATGAACGTTTCCCCGGATGATCGAAACTATATGTAGCTTATTTGAGCATTAATCTATAGCGTTATCAATTTAACTGTATAAACAATTGTCACACTGTACTTTTATGTTTCACAAGCATCATATCATCAATAAAATAATAAAATTATTTGATTTATAATTATTTTATTTTTATACAATAAATTTTGAAATTTCAATTAAAATATAAAAAAATTATTCACTGAATTACTTTTATTTTATATAATTGTTCAATATAATATTATTAATAAAATAAAAAAATTAATACAAAATAAAATATATATTTAATATTATAGTAAAAATAATTTAAAAAATATACAATATATTTTTTAATTTAATAATTTTAATTTTTAATATTTATTAAATATATACATACAGTATATTTTAAAAATAAAAACAGCTATTAATTTCTTTATTTATTATAATGAATTATCTATTATAGCAATTTTTATAATAATACAAACTAATATATATCTTTTTTATCAAGAAGAGTTTAATGCAAAACTTAAAAATTGATTCACTTATTTAAATTTCTATTATTAGCCACTCAAATTTATAGCAAACTCTTATCTAAATCCTATACAATCTTAAATAATATCAATAAAAAATCAAAAAATACATATAATATTCAACTATATAAAGATACTGTAGTCAAATATATAAATTTATTTTTAAGTTATAATTGCAATTCAATACATTTGTTTTTCAAAGTTAATTTAATATATAATAAGTAAAGTTAGTAAAATAAAATGAAAATGAATTAATTATTTCTATATATAAAGATATTGTAGTCATTTTATATAAATTGGTTTTTAAGTTATATAAAAAATTTAATATATTGTTATACTTAATCTTTGCTTAACATTTATTTATTCTTGTAATAATCCATTAATATTTAGTTTCTAAAATATTCTTTTCTTGTTCTAAAATTTTTGTGTCATTGATCTATTGTAATATCTTTATTTACTTTATCTATTTATTCATTTCTTTCTATTCTAAAATATTCTTTAATTTTATTTACTATTCTTACTTTGCTATCTTCACCAGAATATTCATCTCTATTAATATAAGTATATTTAACTATTTTGATAAAAATACTATCTCTTCTATAACTATTATTTTTATCAAAGTATACTATTATTATGTATACAAATTATATATTAAAAATATATATATAAACACCTCCAATTTCTTCTTGAATAACAAGATTAAACTTTCCTCTTTATTAATAAAATAACTTGACCTTTATAAAACAAATCATCATTGCCTCTTTTGCCTGATCTCATACACTTCAGAACTATACTAATTTTAGTATACCCTTATGAACTTTAGCATATTACATTGGACCATCTATATAAAGTGTCATTCTACTACTAGTTCTTCATCTATATTTTTTTTTGAAGTAGAATGATATATAACAATATTTATTTTTCAAGTATAACTTAATATTCAATAAATAAAAGATAAAAGAAATTTTATAAATATTAAATAATTAATATATATAAATAATTTTATATTATAAAAACTCTTTCCACTGATCCTTTTGTCGACTTCCAAAACAAATATTCTCAAAAGATTTATATCTTTATAATAATAAAATCTATATATTTTCTTTAACAACTGGTTTTTTAATTAGTAAAGTGAGCAATGGCTATTACTTGTTTACTTTTTTCTTTTCAAAACATTTTTTATATTTATTTTTACAATTAAATATAAGAAATCTATCTAAAAGGTCTATAGCAAAAATATTTTTTTAAAAAAAAAACTAATAAGAAAAAATATTTTTCAAAACTTTCAAGAAATTTAAGAATTTGAAGAAATAAGAAAAAAGAAGTCTTTAGTTTCACTATTATTTTTGGTTTCTTATTTCTTTTTTCTTAAGTATATTTCTTTTTTTTTTTGAATTTTTTGAAAAATTTTATCTATTTTAGTTTGATCCTGAATTTTTGATTATATTAGATCTTCTAAAAAATAATTAACTAAGGTCACAAATTGATTGATCATGTCAGTTATAGAAAAAGTAAACAAGATATAACCTCTTACATATCTCTAATTATATAATATCAAATAATAATATAACTGGTTTTTGAAAAAATTGAAGGTTTTTAGTTAAAGAAATAGTATAAAAGTATTATAGTAAATAAAAGTTGAAATTGTAAGTAAAGAAAAATGATAGCTTTTTTGTTTTTGTTTTTGTTTTTCTTTTTTCTTATTCTTTTTAAAGATAGGAAATAAAAAAAAGCAAATCTTATTTCAATTTAGTAACAAGTTGAAGTAATAACTATTTATTTCAAAATGCTTAAAGAAAAGAATTTTGAAACTATTTACTGGTTAAATAAAACAATAATTTCAGAAAACATAACTTGAAAGAAAAATCAATAATAAAATCTAATATTTTTCTAATTAGAAATCTTCAATTATAAAGTTTTAAGAAATACTCTTCTGGAAATATCCTTAAACATTTTTGGATATTATTATTTTAATAAAAATTAAACAGTCTGACTAATCACAGGTAATAATAAATAAGTATAACAACAATTATAAAAGACTTGAAGTTTTTGCTTATAGAAATAATCTTTTTAATAATAATTAGAATAAATAATAGCTTTTTGTCTATTTTTAATATCTTTTCTTTTTGTACACATTTGTGCTGTTTTTTTCTTTTTTAAAATTCTTTTTTATTCCTTTTTTCAAATATAGTTAGTTTGTCATAATTTGAATTTATAGCCATGATTATAAAGATAATTTGCAGATTTTAATCTTATTGAAAGTTTTGGATCTTAATTCTATCCATTAGAGAAGCAATATATCACTTTTATAAATTATATATAGAGGCTTTAGCTATTAACAAATAAACTAAATTATGAAAATTTATATTTTACTTATATTCTTATACTTGTAATAATTCTATAATTTAATAAATAAAACAACATTAGTCTGATTATGGATTTAAAAAATTGACCCTTAAAAAGAATCATTCCTAATAATAAAATGCAATTCTGTGTGACTATAAAATCTGAAAAGACAAATCCAATATACTAAGATAGAATTATAATATAATTTTAATATATGGGAAATAAAATAAAATATAAAGTTTAAATTTCAGCTTTTTTGTGTTTTTTTTTCATGTTTTTGGATTTTGTTTTTTGGAGGAGTTTTTGTTTTTTTTCAGGATTTGTTTTTTTTTCAAATTTGATTTTTTAGGTTTTGTTTTTCTTTTAGGTTTTATTTAAATTTCGGGTTTATTTAAATTTCAGTATTTTTTTTCAGGTTTTGATTTTTTTTTTTATGTTTTAGGTTTTTATTTATTTATTTTTGAAATTCAGTGGGGATTTTTTTATTTTTTTTTCAGAATCCAAATTGTTTTTTTAATTTTTTTTTTGATATTCGAATTGTTTTTAAAGAATTCAAATTTAATTTTTTTTTGGGATCTGAATTGTTTTTTAATGTTTGGATTTTAGAATTTTTTTTTCAAATTTCAGAAGGTTTTTTTTTTGCTTTTTTTTGGCATTTGGATTTTTTTTATTGGTCTTTTTTTTGGAATTTGGTTTATTTATTATCTTTTTTTCGATATTTGGATCATTTTTGATAAGAATTCGGATTTTTTTTTTAAATTAATTATGTCATTAAATTTGATTAAATAAAATAACTCAAAATTAGCTAAAATATAGAGTTTAATTTTAAGTTTAATTTGGATTTTTATTTTGTTTAAGTTTTTCAGTTTTTAATTAATTAATTTAATCTAATATTGTTTAATAATAAATTAATTAATTTAATTAAAAATAGTTTAATTGTAAATTAATTAATTTAATAATAAATTGTTTAATTTAATTATAATTTGTTTAATCATAAATTAATTAATTTAATCATAATTTGTTTAATCATAAATTTAATTAATTTAATTATAATTTGTTTAATTATAAATTAATTAATTTAATTATAAATTGTTTAATCATAAATTAATTATTTTATTCAAAAATAATTTAATCTATTAATTAATTTAATCAATTAGTTTAATTACAAATTAATTAATTTAATCAATAATAATTTAATCATAAATTAATTAATTTAATTAAAAAGTTTAATAATAAATTAATTAATTTAATCAAAAATAGTTTAATTATAATTAATTAATTTAATTAAAAAAGTTTAATTTTTAATAATATTATTTTATTCAAAAATTAAATAATATTATTATTATAAATTATATTTATATTATTAATTTAGAAAATTTAAATTATTAAATATATGTATTAAATTATTTTTTATTTTATTTTAATTTTTTTATATATCAAAAATATTGTATTTTAATACTTTTATATAATAAAAAAAATTTAAAATCCATGAATTTTATATAACTGGAATAAGGTACAAAAT